GACTTATGAGAGGTTGTAATGATGATGATGATGACATTAGTATACTAGACTATATTTTTGATTTAGTGGTCGTAATTGCGAATGGTAATCGGAGTGATCCTGGATTCGAATCCAGAATCAGGCCAAAATCAGTTATTGGGGTTTTTGTTAAAATATTCTTAGTAGCAATCCGGAATTATTCATTTAGCAGTGTTTCACCACCAGGCTTTAATAAGCTTGTAAAGTCGTTAACCTTCCGCCTAATCTCTCTCTGGTCGTACCGATATATCATACTATGAGAGTGAAGTAATATAGAGCGCACACTTATGCAATATAATCTTTTTCTGCGCAGATGGCTATTCTCTGTTGAGCCTGGTTACTGTGGCCAAAATTTGGTTAGTATGACAATATTATTATACTAGACCAATGTAGCTTCTAGGCTGGATTTAGACCTGGCTTAGCCACCACCGACCTGCACAATGTGAATCAAATCATTGAGAAACCTACAGAGTATCAACATCCTTTATATCTGGTCTTTGTTCACTACTATAAAGCATTTAATAGTATAAAACATAATTTTATTTCCAATGCCTTACAAAATCAAAACATTGAAGCTACTTACATACAGTATGTAATTTACTGAATACCACAGGACCTTCTTTCCCTATTCTAAAAAGAGTTAAACAGGGCGACTCGTTATCGCATAAACTCTTCATTACCACCTTAGAAGAAATATTTCAGAAACTGACAGATAGTAGGCTTGAGAAAGGCATTAAGATCAGATCAAAAAGGTTAAGCAATCTTAGATTTGCTGATGACATTATTCTTTTCGCGTCCTCAGCCAACGAACTGGCAGAAATGTTCAAACCGCTACGAATAGCTAGCCTGGAGGTTAGACTTCTGATGAATATGGAAAAGACCATAAACCATGTCAAGCACAGGATACATATAGATGACGTGAAGGTTGATTATTCGAAGTGAGGCATTCCATCTTAGTCCTCGGAGGTGACAACGTATATCATTCACTTACCATCAGGTGGACTGTTTGCTCGTTTGTAACCATTATTCCAGGATTTATTTGAAATATTTACAAAGAAGAAGATACAGAATACTTTACATACCGATACAAGCCCTCTTTCCTATGTTAAAAGCAGCAAAAGCAGTAGGACACGAAGGTAAAGTCGCGGTATCTAGCCATCGTTCTGGTTTGAACTGTTCAACGTCATCTCCCCACAATGGATGACGGTGAATACCATAAATATATACAAAACATGTCCGCCCAGCAGTTAGTGTATAATTCTCTGAAAAAAAAAATCTTTCGTGTTTTTTCTATATACTTAAAACAATATCAAATCAATATAGCATGTTATAAAAAATATTTAATAAATAAAGTGAGCACTTGGTTTTTTTTTTGGATATTATGGGTAAAACCATGAATTTGTTATGTAACATTATTATTGAAATTAGTGTTGAAATCGGAAAAAATATATCAATTCAGAAGATGATGTAAACTGCTGATATTATCATCAGTTTACATCATCTTCTGAATTGATTGTTATCGTCGCAGTGGCAAGAAATATTACTAAATTTACGTCGAAAGATTGACTTTGGATTAAACAAAAACTTTAACGTTATATACGACGTTGTACTTCTACTGAAACAATGGGCAATTAGTTAAATGTAGGTGTTGACCTTGCGGCCTAGGCTCCTAAGCGTTAAATTAACCGAGTTAATGAACTGGCGCTTTATTCGGGCTGTAAAATATACAATATAACATTCAAGAATTGCGAAAATATACTTATGATAATTTTAAGATTAAATTTTTTATCTTACTTAGCTTTACATTTTTGTCAAGTTTTCTAGCTGTCACAGGAACTATTGGATATATGCGCATGGATTCCTTCAAAACTGCTTCTAAATACTCTAAGCGAGATAAATCTTGTTTAGTGACGTCCCTGTCATCCTCTCCAAAGACGTTATGTAACCTACGAAATAAAAGACCCCATACCGGTAAGTGCTGTGTAGAATGATCAATAAGGTGAGTGAGGTGACCCGTTATGGCAAGTAGAAATTACTGTGATTGTAGGGTAAGTGTAGAGAACCGGAGACCCTTTTTACTAGGAATGAGGCATTCCATCTTAGTCCTCAGGTGTGACAACACATGAGCATTTTGATTCGTAACCGAGAATGGATGTAGATGAGTATGGGCCACAGTATCCACTTACCATCACACGGACAGTGTGTATGCTTGTCACCCTTATTCTATGAAAAAGAAATTTAATTTAAATTAACAAAACAAGACATATGCAAGACATAGAGAGGCACCTAGGAAATTTTTTGTATTAAATATTATTTTTGTCTAATTTTAATTATGTAATAATTTTTTGCTTTTATATAAATGAAATAATATTTGCTTGATCGTATATAAAACCACAACTTATATTCGTGTGTGTTCATATAAAATTTTCAAGTACGTATAATGTTTATGAAAAATGTGGTGTCCGCCTGTTACAGAAATATTCATATGATCTTTAGTTATTTAACGACGACTGTTGGTCCTGAATTTAAAATGTTTTGTGAACATGCTATTGCTGAACCTTTATTTATAAGGCAACAAATAACGAAGACAGTGAATCTTGTTAATTGAATGAAAATTCATCACCTATTCAAGTGTATGCGAGAAATCATCTAAGGTATATTCTTTAGATGATTTTCCCCTTATAGACCTTAGGAAAAAATACAAATAACAGAACAACAACAGAACAAATTCATATAAAGAAGTACTCACTCTTCAAATATCCGGTCTTGTACCTTTGAATAAGATCCTATTAATACTAATGTAAACATAAGTACGTTCGCCGTAGTATCATGTCCGGCAACAATCATTGTATCTACTTCCTCTCTTATTTCCAAGTCATTAAAAGCTCCCGTTTCAATCGATAATTCCAAAAGAAGATCTAAGAACGCCTTAAATTTCGTTTCTTAAAATTTAAAAAAAAAATACATATTTATTTAGCTTTTCCAAGTTTTGCTTGAGAGAGTATTTATTAAGTAAAAGTAAACTGAAGTTTGTATTGTAAGTAAATTCCCGGTAAAGTGAATTACTTTTGACCTGGATTTACACTATGTGTATTTACTAGCTTACATACATATACATACATTATTAAGATTAAATAAAATCTAGTTGTATTCTATGCTGGTGGTAGCCAGAGTGAATATAGAGGCGACAGAGGGAAACTATGACAAATGTCCTATCTATAAGGCAACTATAAAATAAATACTGCGGTTACCAACACGCCTGCCATGGGGCGGCCATGCTTTTTACTGGAAAAGAGGCATTCCATCTTAGTCCTCACGGGTGACAACGCATCTGCATTTTGATTCGCAAACTAGGATAGATGTAGATGTCTATGGGCCACAGCAAAAACTTACCATCAGGTGGATTGTGTGCTCGTTTGTCACCCTATCCTATAAAAAAAATGTTCAGCATTGGATTATTAATAGGCTGTAACGGTAATGGTCCATAATTTCCTGCTGTGCACTTCAACTCCATCAAAACACAAGAGGGGGCACACAAAGATGCGAGGCATCTATGCTGAAAAACAAGTTTGATTATCAAGTACTGAACGGCCTAACAAAACCCATGCCACGGTACCATGAAGGGGGACATTATATCCCCGAAACTGATCTTAAATGTAGTGGGTCTAATGGTCCTGTTACACCAAATTAATGTCGTTGGAAGCTTTTTTTATAGGATAGGATGACAAAGGAGCACACAGTCCACCTGATGGTAAGTGGTTACTGTGATCCATAGACATCTACATCTATCCTCAATAAAGACTCAAGATGCAGATGCGATGTCACCCGTGAGGACTAAGATGGAATGCCTCTTTGCCAGTAAAAAGGGTCTCCGGTTCTCGACACTCACCATACGAAACACAGCAGCGTTAAGCTGCTATTTTACGCTGGTTTTCTGTGAGAGCGTGGTCCTTCCCCGGTCGAGCCGACCCATTCGTGCTACAACTATACTACTAATACAGCTGCAGCATGGTTCTACCACGTATAAAACCACGTTGCTTCAAACGTATATCTACATCCCACAGATTGTATAATTAAGTAAGAACAATTTTGAGAAAGAAGCCGATAGACGTATTTCGTTAGGTTGGTTAGTAATGGTTCTAATATTTTAATATTTAGAACGAAAGGCCTTACCATGCCTTTCGTTCTAAATATTAAAATATTCAATCTTAGCGTCATGCGTAATTGTATATATGAGTATATATGATAGACAAACCCAATAGTATAACTACTATATAAACACAAAGTCGCTTATCGAAGGCCGATGAGAGCTGTCCTCTGATTTTTGTGTTTGTGTTAGTGAGCAAGCCACATTTTTATTAGAAGTTACAACCAAGTAAACGACTCATAGAGTGAAAACCGTACTGAAGCAAAAGTAATTTAGACACATCCTGGCTAGATGAAACGGTAACTTACATAAGGCAGTTGGCAGAAGATGAACTTTTAAATCTGAAGATCGAGCTAAGGAGCGCGACTCACTTAAGGCCAATATCCGACTATGGATATACCAAGCATATAATAACGGTGATTATAAGCTTAAATCGTATTCGCGTAACTTCGAATTTGCGTTTATATACTGTCATAAAATACTAAAAAAATTGTCCATCCTTAAGGAATATTTAATACCTTAATATGTATATTTTTCTAGTTTCAACTAACTACAATAATTTTACTATTTTTATTTAATAAATATACGTACCACTTGAAGTTTCTAATCCCTTCTTCTTATTATTTAAGTACGCTGCCTTACGTGCTTCCAATACCTGATTAGAAAATATGCAGAATGTAAATATAACATGCTTTAATTTCAATGTTTGTGGCGTAAAAGTTTTGTCTGTATAGTAAAAAAAAGAACGTTCTTCAATTAAATATTTTTTTATTAAAATGTTTTAATATCACAGTCTTTATACCTCCTACAGTCAAGGACAGATCTCCACTTATTTCTAAAAGGTTCTCAAAATCGGACTCTGCTTGTTTGTATGTGTTCTAGGAAATTTACGGAAACGCTTTTCTCCTAAGCTAAAACGCTTCACAAACTCTACTAATAATGATGACAAAACACTAAAGAAGATATGTATTTTTACCTTATTAGACATACTGTGCAATATTCTTAAACATTGATCTTCCTTCTTCTTTAAAGTAGACCAGCTGTAGATAAAGTCACTGAGCAGCCAGAACTTTTGAAACCTTTCTGTCAGAATATTTAAGATCTGCTCTATCGCTTGCTCGTATTGACTATTAAGAACGCTGTTTTTTCTAATATCAACTCCCATGGTAGTCACTGTAACAGACATATTGGCCGGAGCTTTGTAATATGAAATAAAAACTTCTTCATTTATTATGAATAGAGCGTCATGCCAAATCGATTGTGTTTGTTTCCGTAATTAATACAAAAAAGAAAGGAAATATAAACGTACTTGTATTATCCATATCTTTATATATAAAATTTACTTGTCACATTGTTTGTCCGCGATGAACTCCTAAACTATTGAACTGATTGCAATGAAATTTTGCACACTGTGTTCAGTTTGGTCCAACTTAAGAGATAGGTTACTTTTTATCCCGATAAATGACCTTCAATATTTTTATTGCGATTTTTTTTTATGGGAAGGGTTGTCGGAAAGGGCAGAACAACGTCTGCCTGGCCAGCTAGTAATACTATAATACAAACACAATAGCAGTGGTCGGTGCCCGTGTTGCCACTAACATGCCAATTAATATATATCTATAAATATCAACACGTCTCTTTTGACGTCACAGTAGTTGCCCAATTTTTGTGCCAAGCGTTGCTGGATGCTATGTATTTCAAAAATGCCAAATCGTACGATAATTACGTGTCGGAAATACAACCTGATGTGGAATTGGATATCGTTTCACCAGTAAGTCGAAACTATTTATATTTTGTGAATATTAGAAATAAAATACAGAAATATCGATATGTAAAAACAACAGTACTAGGGATGTAACTAAATTTTACTGATACCGGTAAACCGGAAAATACTGTCGCTTTTAAAATTGTACTTGATATAATGACAAGCTACCTAAATAGATGCGATTGAATACGACGAGAAATAGTAATTTAATGACTTACGAATACATTTTTATATATTTTTTATTTAATTGTAATTTTTTTCCCTCTATTGGTATCTATCATAGAATATTTACAATAAAGTTTTTAGATTCAATTTAACTAATTACTAATTCTACTCAAATTTTTAGGTTTTAGATTCAATCTTCTGGTTTCGTATCATTACTACTAAATAACTATACTAAATACTGTATGTATGTTCACTTCACGTCCAATTATCCAAAAAGGGTTGAGTAGACCCATTTTGTGTGAAAAGTGTAAAAATAAATTTCATAATATGTATTTTCATACTTTTTCTTCCAAATGTATTATTAAAAACTTTTGGTACGTTTTTAGATAAGATATATTTAATTTACACACTATTTTTGTAATTTTCCTGGAGATACGGACATAAAAAAATTGAATATAAGCCAGGGGAAGAAAAAAATAGTTATATACCCTCAATTTTTTTCAGACCAAATACTCATGCATATATCACAAATGATATTTGAAGGACAATATAATTCCACATAAATAAATTGTATACATAACATGAGCACCGGTATCATCCTGTTAAAAGGATTAATTCTTCGAAAATCTTTCGATACTGGTATGCAAACCAGACAAATCATGTTAAATGGTCAAACAATCGCTCCAAGTCATACAGGTTGCAGTGCGGAGTTAGGCAGGGAGAGTCATCGCCTGCGAAGCTCTTCAACCTGTATATTAACGATCTCTTGGTGTAGCTCAGCAGAATGCGTATTGGATGCCGCGTGGGTGGTGTTAGTATCAATAGCATCAGCTATGCGGATGACATTATGTTGCCGAGTCCCACTGCGAATGCGATCGGAGAAATGTTGAAGGTCTGAAAGACTTACTCTGCCTCGCATGGTCATGTATATAACATTAAAAAAAAGTGATTACACTGTCTTAAGGGTCGCCGGCAAATGTTCGCCGAATCTATCCCTCCAACAATCTTAAATGGATCGTAGCTAAAGCGAGTTTACCAATTTAAAAACCCAGGGCATATACTTAGCTCGGCGATGTTAGCATCTCATGTGCGGAATTTTGATTTACCAGTTATACCATCTGAAAAGTCAGAAATTGGTCATAAAAGGTCAGTTGATCTTATTAATTGGTCAGCGTTAGAAGCATTTTTATTAAGGGTTAAAGTTTTTCAAGGTCATTGAGAAATTTTAGCACCTCATTCGCGAAAAAAATAAAAAATTCCACCTATGCGCGATTGAGATAATTGGTAACCTTATATAAATATTTGGTCAGTTTAATTTAATATTAAAAAAAATTAAATAAGTTGGCATTGTCGTAACGCGCATGCTTTGGGACGGTTAATTGTATCAGAGCAGTGAACACTTACGCACAGCTCTTTACTATGAACGAAACGGAGGGGGGGGGGAATTTTGTTTATTTTTTGAGAAAAAAACTTAGACATTTTCTACTATCAAATCTATAATAATGGAGAAAGACCTAGGATATTTTTTTAAACTACGTGAAGATGAAAGTGCATGCATGGGATTTGGGGGATGATAGTTAACTAGCTTATTTTATAATAATTTTATATAAACATTATTTTTAGGGTTCCGTACCTAAACGTAAAGAAAAAACTGAACCCTTATAGGATCACTTTGTTGTCCCTCTGTCTGTCTGTCAAGACCCTTTTACTCAGGAACGCGTGGAGGTATCAAGCTGAAATTCATATCAAGTACTCAAGTCTACTGTCCCTTGGAGCTGTGAAAAAATCAAACTTCTAAGCCAACGCAATCAACAGATACAGCCGTTTATGCCGCAAATTTTCGACATTCGCAATTGAATCAAAACCTACAGGGTACTTCCCGTGAACTCAGAATCTTGAAATTTGGTACAAAGCAACGTTTTATAGCAAAGATAAAGGGAAAATTGCGAAAAGCATAAATTTTCAGTTACATCATACAATAAAAATATTTTAAGAATTTTAAACTTATATATATGTCGGAGAATTACAACAGAGGATACAATAAAGCACTAAACAATATAGCACTAAACAAAACAAACTTTAATTGCCATTTACATTCGATGACTTCCCACATGATAGATGAAGAGTTTTAAAAATAGATTGAGTTGAATAATTGATATTTTCAAAAGTTATCGTGTTCACGACACCATGTGGACTTGATAAACCCACACCACCAAAGAGCTGTGCGTAATTGCTCACTGGCCTGATACAATTAACCATCCCAAAGCATGCGCGTTACGACAATGCCATCTTATTTAATTCTTTTTAATATTAAATTAAACTGACCAAATATTTACATAAGCTAATCAATTATCAGGGAATGCTTCCCGATCGTGCATAGGTGGAATTTTTTATTTTTTTCGCGAATGAGGTGCTAAAATTTCTCAATGACCTTGAAAAACTTTAACCCTTAATAAAAATGTTTCTAACGCTGACCAATTTATAAGATCAACTGACCTTTTATGACCAATTTCTGACTTTTCAGATGGTATAACTTGTAAATCGAAATTCCGCACATGAGGTGCTAACATCATGGAGCTCATATACTTGCCAACGACTTTAAAGATGATCTAGACATAGAGAGAGAGCGTAACGCTTTGGCGATATGCGGCAATATGCTAGCTCTTAGATTTACCCGCTGTTCGGACCAGGTCAAAATAAACTTATTCAAAGCGTATTGCAGGGTCTGAACACGGGCGGTCTGGTAATTAGGTAACACACTGAGAGTCCAGTACAATAACGTTTACAGGATGATGTTGGCACTTTTCCACTTGTGTAGTGCCTCTGGCATGTTCAAACTGACGGTTTTTATGCCGTAATTCGGAAAAAAGTAACGTCGCTGATGGGAAGGATACGAAGTGACAACAGCATCTTGAGAACGGTGGCAGATGATACGCAAGCGCCTATTATGAGGCATTTCGTGCGAACGATATACGAAATGAGCATCGTTCGCACTAACGTGTGAATTATCATCCACTGTAGGAGTATACAATGGATGATAATTCTTCTAGGTGTCGACGGCACGGAGTGCCTCTTACGTACATGACAAATTAGAATTAATTTTAATCTAATTTCATTTTAATTGATTTGATTTAATTTAATTATAATATAATATAATTTATTTTAATTTTTTCAAAATACTAACAGTTAGTGTTTTAAGAGTTAATGTAATACCAACCCATGCATCTTTGTTGTCTGAAATAAATGAATTTCAATTTGAATATATAATTTTTAATATTATTTTGGATTTTTAAACGAAAAATTTACTAATTGAGGCTCTGTCGACTCTTAAAACATAAAATCGCAAATATTATTAAAATATTTCAAAATATCTTGATGGTTACCGGTTACTGGTAAACCACTAAACAAGACTACATTCCTAGCTATGATACCATTATATACCTCAGTTTACTTAAACGCACAGACTAATACGATGCTACGCATCTTATACGTCTTCAAAAACTTGTTATTTATTTACAATTAGAAAAAAAAATAATTACCACCATTGTATCTGCAACTAGTTTACACACTGTTGACAAATATATTATATGTTTTAAAATTTAAATGAATCCTCTTTTTTGATGATCAGTCATCATCCATATATATCACTGCTGAACATAGGCCTCCCCAAAGGAATGCCACAAAGCACGTTCCTGAGACACCTGCATCCATCGACTTCCTGCATGCCTTAGCAGGTCGTCACTCAGAAGTGTGGGGAGCCTCCCCACACTTCTGAACCTTTCTTCCCCATCGGTTGTCGGTTTTCCGAGCTATATGGCCCATTACCACTTCAGCTAACTAATCCTTTGGGCTATGTAGGTTACTCTGATCCTACTGCGGATATCCTCAATTCTAAGTTTATCACGGTAAGAAATCACGAACACAGTTTTTTTCCATAGCTCGCTAAGCGACCTTGACCTTCCTCATATGGCCAGCAGTGAAGGATCATATCTTAGATACATTAGTCATCACTGGTAACATGCACTGGTTATCTCAAGCTGGTTTTCAATTTTTGAGGTATACCTGACGTGAAGATGTGTCGCAATCTCCCGAACGCTGCCCAGCCAAATTAAATCCATCGATTGACCTATGTTACTAAAAAACAAACAACAATAAAATAGTCCGACTTACCTAGTCGGACTATTTGTACCAGGTAAACATACTTGTCAACAACGTCGAGCTTAGTTCTTCCAACTACCGGTGGTGTGAAATGAACTTTACACATCATGATCTTTGTTTTGTCCATATTCATTTATCAGGCAGAGTGGCGATTGCGGTATGAGATATCTCTTTCAGCTTTCATGCTGGTTTGGCTATTTATATTGGTTATATACGAGATAGTATACCGCCATCTATCGGATATAAAAATCAATTAAGATAAATTATAAATAAAAATGTACTTACAACAAATAGTTTCCAGGGCATTACGTCGTGTGTAAACTAAATGGTCGAAAGGGCCCTTTCCTACCTGAATGATGAATGATGAGATCAAAACAAAATTAAATACTGAAGTTATGACAAAATGTAAATAATTCAATCAATTAATTTAAAAATATGATTGCTTAAAATGTAATAGCGAGCATGGCTCTCGACAATTTCCTGTTTTTGGTAAAATTTGAAGAAATTTTCATAAACTAAACCATTTTGCATAAGGTTGCAAATATGAAAATGTTAACTATATTGATTGAACCAACAAAAAAAATTTACTTGCAAACCAAAGAAAAAAAAATTATAAAATGACTTGTTTAAAATGTGTCATTCTATTGGGAATATTTATAATTAAGGTTTAACCTTAACATTATGAGCCAAAAATAAGAAAATTTACTTCAAATTTGATACAGGAGCAAAAGTAAATGTAATTTCATTAATTATTTAAGAAACATTGTCGATTGTGATATTTGGTGTCTATTATGGTCTAATACAGCAATAATTTTAATAATTAATATTACGAAGTGTATACCTACTGCACCTATTTTGAAACATTTTAATAGTATATACCTATTGTACAATGTGATATTAGTAAAGATTGATTGGGATCTTCGATCTCATGCAAAATGGCAAACCAGTAACTTATTTTTTCTATTTTTGCATCAAGAAGCCTAACGTAAAAGCAAAAAAAACTTCAATTGGAAAAAGAATTCTTAAGCATTGTTTGGAAAAAAGTTTCATTATTATATATAAAATGCTTGTGCTTGAGGTGACTAAAAAATATCGTGCTGTACTAGGTGGGATGTGACATACTACCAAAATGCGAGATGTCATTTAGAGAGACCGCAGATTTACAATTATAAGTTGGCCGACTAAATCGCAGAGTATACCAATAGGTATAGTGACATATGCTAGCCAACACATCTTGTCCAACTAAATCGTCCAATTCATTAATTGGACACCGATCGTATCAGAATCAAGATTCCCTTCCGATTACGCACAATTAAAAAGTTGTCCAACTATCGGCCAACTGCTCGTTAGCACGGTTACCCTATGCAAGCTCGCGGACTATCCAACTTTGTTGGATAGTCGCACGGCAACATGCAAGACGAACCGACGCGCGCGCGTAATTTCCCCACGCTCGGACTTGGGCCTTCGCCGACGGGTGCGACATCTGCCACCCTATCACTTGTTGCAAACGAAAAAGTAGAAGAGCTCATAGATGAAATGCAAAAAAGGCCAGCGTTTTACAAAAAAGTTCTTTTCAAAAAGGATGCACCAAAATGTTCTGTTTTGTTTTCGTCTTCTTTTTATTATTACTCGTAATGCAATTAAAGCGTGTTTTTTCCGCATTATCACGCACACGCACCGCGCTAGCAACACTGTCACGGACTAAATCCATTAAGTCTGCGGCTCGTAACCAATCAAATATAGTTGCTCAATTAAAATACAAAAGTACGCAATTTAGACGTTCGATAGTTTGCCAACTTACAATTGTATGTCTGCGGGGTCTCTTAACCAGTTGATCTCAATTATATTCACAAATAATCGATTACAATTCAAAAATTATAATAAATAGTATTAAATAAAATATACTTAAAAAAAATAATACTTTTTAAATATTTTTCACAAGTTTTTAATTTAAATGGCTCGTTTAAAAACCACAATCGTTCTTTTTAGGAAACTTAAATATATCTTCTTAGAATTAAACAAAAATTTAACAAAGTGAAGATAAACGTTAATTAAGTTTATTGTGTGACGGATCATTATTATTATTATGAATAAATAATTTAATAATTAATTTAATTAATAATAAATTAAAAAATAAATAATTTCAATAAAGTGGCATTTAAAAATATCATAGATATAAATATTTTGAACAATCAAAATGCGTTAATAAGCATAAAAGTTCAGATGCATTCATTTTGAACATTAAGTATTATAGTATAATAAAGACTTAATATTGTCTTTAGAAACCTTTAAATTTATTAAAACTCTGCATAAAAGATTCAAAATGTATTAAATAATAGAAGTAAAAGTCGATTATATTAAATGTAATTGAAAAATGGGTCAAAAATTTTCAAGTTAATGAACGTGTTCTTAAATTACTGGAGTGTGTTCATTTGCTAGTATAAGGGAGTTGCCTGAGACGCATAACCATGGGTGTATATATATATATGGGATGGTTGGGTGACTGATAGTATTGTTGCATAATGTATAGTCCTATATTACGGACTTATGATAGTATAAGGTCTATGGAACTAAAGCATTAATATAAAAGGTGTGTATGATGTAAAAGCATTATGATAGCAAAGTTATGACTTGAAGTCCTATAAGTAATAAAAAAGACATATAAGGTCTATGAAATACATATAAGGTTTATAAAAGCTTTTAGAAAAATTTACTTCGCAAATATCCGCGTTATAAAATAAAATGATGTGACTTACCTAGTATGAAGAGCACCTCCCGCCCTCCCTCAATTGCGTGCACTATCCCCGTCACCACTATTCCCAGCACCGCTACTCCCAACACCACTACACTAGGCCAGACACACCACTGACGATAATACGACACGTGTTTCGCCTCTACACGAGGCATCCTCAGGTGATATAGACTCTACGGTGGCTAACTGCTAAGACCTTAGCGGTTAGGATGGATTAGTGGTGACGGGGATAGTACACGCAATTGTGGGAGGGCGGTAGGTGCTCTTCATACTAGGTAAGACACATCATTTTATTTTATAACGCCGATATTTGTTTACTTACTTACTTATCTTCACGCACAATCCCTGACGGGGTAGCCAGAGAGAACAGATCGCCAAGTGTCACGATCCTTACAAACCTCTTTCGCTTCTTTCAGATTCATTATCTTCTTCATGCATGCACGTCTAGGTATCCGAGTACTTTTGACCCTACCCTCTTCGAGCAATTTGCTCACATGGTCTTCGAAAGTTAGTCTCGGTCTACCTCGACACCTTTTAATATTAACTTTCGCGCTATATATTTTCTTCACCATTCGGTCTTCACTCATTCGCTCAACGTGCCCAAACCACCGAAGCACGCCCTTATCAATTTTTGTGATAAGGTCATCTTTCAAACCTGCCATATTGCGAATCTCTTCGTTTCGCTTTCGGTCGGCCATGGTAACGCCGCACATTTTACGAAGAGATCGCATCTCCACTGCATTCAACTTACTTTTATGCTTCTTCTGGCATACCCAGGTTTCGCTGCCATATAACAAAGTCGGTACCAACACTGCGTTATGTATTGCAAGGCGTGCACTCTTCGCTACGCCTTGCCTTTTGACTAACGCAGTCAGGGCACCATTGACTTTGTTCCCGGCAGCGACACGCCTGTCCACATCTAAATCACATCTTCCATCCCGGCTAAAAGCACTCCCCAAGTATACAATTTCATTTACCTGTTCTAGACATTCCTGATTTACCCATATTTCACACTTCGTTCTCTCTTCGTCCCTTTCAAATACCAGAACCGATATTTGCGAAGTAAATTTTTCTAAAAGCTTTTATATAATGTATTTCCGCAAAGTAACGCCTGATTCTATTAATTATATAAGGTTTATGAAGACATCTAAGGTCTATGAAATAAAACAAATATATGGAAGATCTCAAATATGTAAACGCATTATATTGAAAGAAATCGGACTTGAAAAGGATTATTATAGTGGCGTGTAGGTTGCTTCGCAGCCTCTGAGACCGAGGTAAACTTGGACTCGCTAACCGATGTATCCTAGACATATCATCTTAGTGTATGGGACTTTATGAATAGGCCAACGTCAAACGAAGGTTGGTTTCACGGGTAGGATAGGTCAGAAGTAAGCTCTCCTATTTGTTAATGCTATATTTTAGGTTGATACTGAAATAATATAAACAAGTAATAGTAGTAACAGATAGCGGATGGACTTGTTATGCTTATGTAAAAGTCCCATGTGCCACTACGAATACTTTTATGTTATTAATTTTTTTTTACATAGGATATGGTGACAAACTAGCACACAGTCCACCTGATGGTAAGTGGTTTCTGTGACCCATAGACATCTACATCTATCCTCAATAAAGACTCAAGATGCAGATGTGTTGTTACCCGTGAGGACTAAGATGGAATGCCTCTTTGCCAGCAAAAAGGGTCTTCGGTTCTCTACACTTACCATACGCAACACAGCAGCGTTAAGCTGCTATTTTACGCTGGTTTTCTGTGAGAGCGTGGTCCTTCCCCGGTCGAGCCGACACATTCGTGCTACAACTGTACTATTTATATAGCTGCAGCATGGCTCTACCACGTTAAAATATTAATAATACCTACCTCCACTTCCAAATCCCTAACAAAGCGCCTGGACTGGTTATTAAAAACTCCCTGAAATCCATCCAACACGAGCTGAGAAAAAGCTGGGCTTAACAATTTTCGATGACGCTTCCATATTGACACTGCGAAAACATATTTAACAAATGAACTGTATCGCAATATTCAATTAAATATTTTCTTTTAATATGAACGAATAGTTATAGTACATTCAGATTTAAAAAAAACGTACCTTTTCCAGTTAGCAGACCCTCCCCTAGCCACGGTTTAGCAAATTCATATACAACGTCCTTCTGTACGCAAGCGTTAGTGACAGTCAAGCTGTCTTCAGGATCTGTTACCACTGGAAACCAATTAAGAGTAAAAATATTAAAATGCACAATACCTTATAATAAATAAATAATACCTAATAATAAAGAAAATACCGTATAGTGTACGGGATCCAATTGACACTTTTATCACACCACCCATTCTTAATGTAGTATATGCCACTCCCTTCAGAGTATTCCAAAAAGCTGGGAAATAAAAAAAACGTAGCTTTAAAAGTAAATAATCCTTACGTTTAAAGCTCTAAAGTTGGCCTATAAATAAGGTATATTTTACAAACAATGATATGCCGTGTAATGGTGGTGATAGAATATCCACTACCCCATATCCATTCCTGTAGGTTTTGTAAGAAGCGACAGAAGAAAACTGAGACAGTAAATGGGCAGCAGCATCTTTCTGAAAACAACAGCAAAACTACAATAAAAAAGGTACGGTGGAGGTTCGGTTGCCACCTAAGATGTGACTCGACCTGTCAACTTGATGAATGACGAGAAGATCCTGGGGCTGTAGGAAGAGATAGACAAGTTGCGCTGGGATATTATCGGATTATCTGAGGTCTGAAGAGAGGAGGACACGGTAATCCTCGAATCCCATAAATTGTTCTATCAGGAGGGCGACCATATCTTCTAAAGAGGCGTTGCATTTATTATTCAAAAGTCTCTCGTTAACAACGTTGTTAAAATTGGGAGTATGTTGGCGCGAGTTGCGTACCTTATACTCAGAATCACCAAACGGTATTTATTGTAGGTCATAAAGATTTACGCTCCAACATTGGTACATCCCAATGAGGAGGTGGAGGAAATTTATAAGGATATCTCTATATATTAGTGGGCTTATGGGGTTACCAGCGACATGGTTGGGTGCCCAAAACACTGCCATAATATGTAAAAAGGAGAAAATGACACGAAAGTGGTTTCCTACTGGTCTGTGATGAAAATCATAGCGAACGAAGGGACTATTGTAGGTCGCCAGCCAAGCGCGAGAGGCTACAGGACCACCTATATGCCAACAGAATTCATGAACTCCACCAGAGGGCTTGGTGTTGGCTAGTTCTTCTTGGACTCGTCAAGTCGCATCCACCGCTGGTGGATTACGTCACATGGAAATAATGAACACAAACGCATTGCGGGCATATTTAAGAGCAAAAAAGGAACAAACTGGAAGATTGGTGTAATAGGCTCGGATGCATTGCTTATTGTTGAGCTGGAGCCATCTGTTCCCGTAACGCAGCAAAACCTGGGAGACAGAGTTCAGTACATCCTGTGCTCCAAAATATTTAGTGACGCCGAACTCGAACGACTACGACGTGAGTCTGTTCCCTCATTGGATGAAAATGCTACGACTGAGAATGCGGCGCGAATAATTGCAGAACAACCTGCACACGTATGCACTACTTTGGATCTTCCAATCATGATTAAATCAGACGATGATGAAATAGTCTCCCATGAACTAGAGCAAATGAGAAGCATATTAGTAGAGGTGATTTCGGACCGCCTCTTACCCGCATACCCCTAAGCAAGCGGAGTCGGGCTATCGTGAGTGCTCTTATCCCTGCTGGTGCCTTATTTGGAAGCCAGCCGGGACCTTTTCGAGACGGATTTAATTAATTTTGGCGCCAAGCTTCCCACGGCTGGACGCGCTACTAGATAATGTAGCGCCATATCAGCCTGGAGAAAAACATTGTGGACCGTATCGCAAATATAAGGGCCAAAAGGGAGACTGACGAGCTTCACGTCGGGTAATAATAAGCCATGATTTGTTGCGCACCGTTAGAATGGCGTTTGCTGGGACAAATATCAGTTTCTCCCAGCCCGATATCACGCATAATCTAGAGCGCATAGGTGAACTGAAGGAGAGAATCGCTACTTGGGGAAAGCGCTTTCGGCGATATAGTGAGAGGTCGATGCGGTTCAACTAGAATCGTCTCTTCCAGAGTAATCAGAAAATGCTCTATAAATCATTGGAGCGACTATTCGTATGTGGAACGGGCTCAGTAACGAATCAGTCCAAAAACCACAGCGAGAGCCCTTAGACAGAAGTTGTGGGAGTCAGTGTGCGAATGTTACGCCCATGGATCCCTTCATAATTACGATGAAAAATGTAGCTTAGGTATCGTGGTATGTCAAGCTGTGCTTGCCCGACACTCTCTAGAGGCTCTCAACCAGAAGTCTTCTCGAGCCAATTCACTACTAGAAACACTCACTTGGTTCCTAAAGATCAGGATGCTACAGATCCAAAATACCGCCTCATCACGTGTCTTGCCAACAAATATAAGTTACTGACATCCATTTTGAGCGCGAGAATCATACTGCACTTAAATCAGGTGATATCAGGCGCTCAATTAATCACCCCTCACGGTCGCGGTCATTGGCAAAGTGGTTAAACGCAACCGTCGGAACATTTCCGCCGCATGGCATAGATACAGTTAGAGATTTCATCGGGCAGTATATGGGGCAGTGGAGTACGATTCTTTACCAACTGGGCGAGTGGATGATGACTTCGGAGAACCACATTAGAATAAGAAAGGATATCATCCAGGGTGATTATTTGTGTACAATCTGGTTCTGCCTCTCTCTCAACCCTCTTAGTTCCTTATTTGAGGAATTGGGAGGGATTTCAGCTTCGAAAAGGAGGGAAAGTGACTCACGTTTTCTATAGGTATGATCTCAAGCTATTCAATTTTGAGAGTATAGACTTATCTATGCCCATCAATATAAGGATCCTTTCTGAGGCTCAGATATACTGATACCTTGGAATGTCATGGATGAGCTGGATATAAAACAATCAGTTTGGGATGTATTTTATGCATATAATGGTTGGGACACGCTTGTCCTAATGTATGTATACCTTTGGCATACTCATAGCATACGCATAGGTGTACTCAGATGAATTGAACGCTTTGGATAGAAAAGTTTACACTGTTATGACGTCCCACAATATGTATCACCCGAGATCGTCAGTAATGAGGCTTTACTTGCTGCGAAAATATGGTGAGCGCGGCTTTTTAAGCTTTCATCATGATTTATTGTGAAGTATGGAGCCTCCGTAATTACACAGGCACAACCTAGTAGTACAGGATTTATTATCTCATGGACCGGATATTACCTTAATATATTTATATTCATTTCAGGTCATTCTTGAGCATGGTTTCAAGTATTTACTCATTTTCGACTACCGATACTGGTCTATCATCACACACAGGACTATTCTTGCGAATAAGCTTGATATTGTGCTGATTTACTGGGCACAGTCAAGGATATTTAGATACGAGGTGAACGACATGTGGGGTGGTCTATCGACTAAAATTATCCCTGTAATCGTCTCTGCGAACGGACTAATCCTGGTCAGCCTCTCGAGTCAACTGAGACGATTAGGAATCTGTGACTCAAATGCAGAAAGCGGTGCTCTTCGATACCACCAGCATCTTCCGCCGATATCTTTCCCTTTCCTCCTAACTCTCGGCCGTTTGATCTCTCCTGATTGGCTTTTTATTTATTAATGTATGATTCATTTATTTATTTTACTATATTCAATGTATATTTACCATTTTCCTTTATATATTTGTCGGAGATTCGGCAGAGGATCGCAATTTTGATCTCGGAAATACATCAGGATAGCATTAATTTTTAAAAATAATAAAAGTGTGAGAGCGCATGTTCAACTTGCTCTCTTGCTTACGCAATTAATCATTATCAGTAATAAGACAATGTAACGAACTATACATTCAGGATAGTGAAATTACAGTACGGCCACTCCGTAACACGTCCCCGTGACCATCGCACACCAGTGTAACGTGAGGTACGTAATTACATGATAACACCAAAATATTATGTAAACCAACAGCAACATTACTTATCGCAATATAATACAGGGCAGCCTCTCAGAATACCAATCCTCCTTGCCCGCACTAGAAGAATTACAACAATGAACAGAACCACGACACTATCTTAGCACTAGTAGAATGAACAGACTCGTAGAATGACTTAAGCGGAATCTCTCACGCACGGCGCCTACAGTTAACTTTATACTCTACACAAACAAGTGGGTGTTTCTAGATATACCCTTCTTTCCACCTCGATCCAACCGGTATTATACAGACGATCCGACATATTTATTTAGCCCTGCCAGATGAGAATATTGTATAGAAACAAAAATAATTATTATTTTTGTTTCTGTCCTCCAGACCGAATTTCGGTCACGGCGACCAGCCTCAACCGAGGACAGAATTATAGTACCCAAGTGTATGCGCCAGCGCAGTTGCAATCTCTATTCCCTTACTCTAATAGTTGGATGGGATGGTAAACCGGCACGACCGGAGAGATATCTGGCGCAGAATCAACGGATTTACCCGCTTTACGAGGCTAGGGGGATGAAACAGACTCCGGGCAGCTACTGAGAATTTCTTGACGGAAAATTCAATAACTAATTTTTTCGACCCGACCCGGAACCTCATCATCATCAGTCGCGTTTATAACCACTAGACCAAAAAGGTAGTTTTAGAAGTAAATATTTTATTACATACAAAACCTATAATTTTAAATAATAATCCATTTAAGTAGCTAGTAATTATATAAAACAAGTTTTTAACTTATTTTATAATCCCGACGTTTTGAGCACTTTACAACACCTATGATCGGGGGAGGGCGGGGGGAGTGAGGTGTTTGACGTCCCCATGTCATAGTTAACCACGGCATAGTTTATATGGAAGAAATGGCAGCTTTTTTACTATTTTGCTTCTAAATCTGACACCACCAATTGGCCTACCAGACGTGGCGGTTACACCAAATCCTATTATGGGAGTGAATTATGTCTAACAGTACCTCAATATCTTTTCAATTTTTAAGGAGGAGGATTTATTTTAGATTTGATTCTTTTTTTTTAATAAAATAAGTATGTCAATTGAACACACAGTCCACCTGATGGTAAGTGTAGTAGACATAGATATCTTTCATTGACTAAGACTTCGAATGCAGATGGGTTGTCGACCCTAAAGACTAATATTGAATGCCGCCTTTCCTGTAAAAAGTCTATAATATATACTGGTCAAATCAGCTGCATTTCCCCATAGAAAAAACTATGAAAATAAGTAACAACTCAAAATAATAAAAAATTGGTTGCCAACCCGCCTGCCTACCGTAGCACCTGTGGCATAATCTCCCTTCGAGGCAGTCTATGGAGGAGGCATATGTTAAGCAGAGGACTATCATAGGCTGTGATGGATGGATTCAAAACTTCTCTCGACAACGGGACATGAAGTATAAAGAGATTTATAAAGGAAAATGTGTACTGTGTGTATGTGGAAAGTGTGATACTTACAAACACTATCACCCAACAGAATATGTGCATGCCCGATGAACGGCAATGCTCCTGGTAGAGTGGGCGGTTCCAGTTTAGATCTTGTGTTTAGAGGCCGCCATATCCAATATAGCGCGAACGTTAAACAAAATAAAGCTAAAGCCAGCATCTCCATCAAACCTAAAATATTAGTTACTATAATTATGAACATTGACTAGATCTTACTTCATGAAGAAACCTGTATATAAGAGAAATTTAAAATGTATCTCTATGACATAAGTCGCCAACACGCATTGGGTCAACGCAACAGGTATCTGTTTTAAACTCTCACAAAAATGCCAAGCAGATGCGCGTGTAGACTGTTACTCTTTCTTAACTTTTGAAAGTGTAATGACGTATAGCCTCAACGACAATAGATATTTATATATTAGTGTTAAGCTAATAAAAATGAAGAAGTCTAGTGAAAGTCATAACAAGAGTAACACGCCTTTTCCAACATTATATGGCGACCCTTCCAGGCGGTATGCTGTTACAATGCAAGCACACCGCCGCGGTCTGCAAAGTTATTAAAATAAAGATAATCTCGCAAACATAATGGAAATTAATTTAATTTAGTATTTAATCAATTAAACACAATTATACTGGTTATGACGAAAAATAAAATTAAATGCGAATGTGTATTGATACAATACACATGATATAATACACAATATTACATATTATTTGGAAAAAGGAAAGTACTGAAAAATATAAAAAATTGTTGTATTACAGTAATTTTTTTTTACAATTGATTTGCCGAGGCCTCCCAGAAAGTAACCTTAAGATACTTGTGTTGGGAGTGCTTCACTCTTCCTATGCAGTCATTACACTTCGATTTACATCATAATATCAAAATAGCGTGTGTGCGTGTGCATGTGCATGTGCGTGTGCGTGTGCGTGACAGTGTGCGTGTGCGTGTGCGTGTGCGTGTGCGTGTGCGTGTGCGTGTGCGTGTGCGTGTGCGTGAGCGTGTGCGTGTGCGTGTGCGAGTGCGTGTGCGTGTACGTGTGCGTGTGCGTGTGCGTGTGCGCGTGTGCGTGTGAAGCATACATAATTTGTTTTTTGGGTGTTAAGAGTAAGCATATTCTCACTAAGCCGGTGATTAACTCTAGCTAGTCCCCTCTCAGCCTCCATCCTAATTTTATGGTCTTAGCGGTAAAAATAATAGCGGTGTCAACCGCATAGGACAGTATCCTCCCCCAATGCTACCAAGGTTGCAAGGTTATTAATATATATAAAAAAGAGCGTTGGGCCGGGAACACTGCCCTGCGGGACACCAAACATTACAGTTTCTTTTTCACTGATAAATTGCTGATTTTTACACTCTGTTTTCTGTTTTGGAGGTAGCTGCTGAGAAGAAAGAGAGAGCAGAGTCACGGAATCCAATACTTTCCAGCCTCCGTATAAGAATGGAGACAGAGACAGTTTCAAAGGCTTTCTTGAGATCAAGAAAGACTACTAGACATTTGTTGCTTTTGTCTACTTCTATTGTTATAACTTATGTAAGACGGAAGGGAATGTCGACGCAGGATGCTCTCATGGTAGCATCCTGTGTCGACATTCGCTTCCTAAAACCATATTGAGAGTTAGATAATGCTATACTTAGTCAAGTAGCTTACTAATCTAGAATTCAAGAGTCTCTCAATAATTTTAAAATGACGCTTAGCACAGAGATAGGTCGATAGTTGTTAACGTCGTCCGTGTCTCTACTCTTATACACAGGGGTAACAATGAAGCGCTTAAGAAGGTATGGGAATATCCCAGTGCGAAAACATAGGTTGGTAAGGTCGCTAATCAAAGGGACAAGGATATCCTTACTTTTTATTAGGAAAAAAGTAGGGATTCCATCCCAACCTGGTGCACTCCTGGAGTCTAGGGACATCAAAGTATTTTCCACTTCCCTGTGAGATGTGTCTATTAAACAAAAGGATGACAGATGATGATAGTTATCAGTATTACGAGTTTCCAAAGATATGAAGCTATTTGAGATGTTCTCTGCTAGTGTTTGCCCAATGTTAACAAAATATTTGTTTACATAGTTGATCATCATTTGGGCTCTTCGATGGCTTATAGTGAGTGATATCGTTAATAGTTGACCAAAGAGCTCGCGGGTTTTTTACCGATGCTTTAATTTTTTCTTTATTATTATATAATGTACTAAAGAAGATAAAAATTTGAAGAAAAATATATTGAAAACAAACAAGGCATGAAGATAAAATTATTCCATCCATTTACGAAAAGTAGAAAAAATTTTAGTCCATCGAGAAGCACTAGCAACCAGCAGCAGCAGTGTAGTCTAGAAGATTGAGTCCAAATAATACAGAAGAAAACTAGAGGTAAAATCCAATCAGTATTATTGAAAATCATTTCCGTTATTTTTTTATAATGGTTTTACTTTTTAAAAAAATAATTATTATATTATGTTTTGTTTTGAATAAAACAAAACATAATATAATAATGAATTCTATACGAGACCAGATTGGCTGTATTCTGAATGACGAAGTTTTGAGTTTAAGGTGATGGAAGGAATACTTTGAAAGCATGTTTATGAGCGATGAGACGTTTGAATTAAATGAAATAGAAATTCCGAAAGAAGGGGAAACAGACAGAGACATAAGTATAGATGAAATAATGAAAGCAAATGAAAAGTATTAAAGCAGGTAAGGCAGCCGGTTATGATAAAGTATCTCTCGAAATGCTAAGTGCTGGAGAAGGAGTGGTGGCAGACCTGCTGTGCACCTTGTTTAATTTATGTTGGGAACGTAAGCGCGTACCGGGAGACTGGTGCAAAGCCGTAATAGTCCCAATATATAAGGGAAAAGGATCACAGTAGGACTGTAAAACTACCGTGGTATCAGCCTTATTAGCATTGTGGGAAAACTGTATCCTAAGGTACTAATTGAAAGAGTTATGAAAGAAACTGATGGAATATGGGATGTGCAAGCGGGATTTAGAAAGGGAACGGGATGTACGGATCAGGTCTTTTCCATGCGCATGGTCGCGGAGAAGTTTTTGGCCAAAAAAACAAAAAGTTTTTTGTGCGTTCGTGGACTTGAAAAGGCTTATGACAGAGTGGATAGGGATGTGTTATGGAAAACACTGAACTCATTTGGGTTGAGCTCTGGGTTGATACAGGCATTGAAGTCTCTGTATAGGGACTATAGTGCTGGTGTCAGGATCAACGGGGCCTACTCGGACTGGTTTGGCTTCCATAAAGGTGTCAGACAGGGCTGTGTGACTTCCCCGTGGCTGTTCAACCTATTTATGGACAGTTGTTTGGAAAATTTGAAAGTAAAAGAATGCGGGTTAAGAATGGGTGAGCTAACTGCCAAATGTCTTTTGTACTCTGATGATCAAGTCATACTTGGGTCGTTGGCGGCGGAGTTGCAAATGATGGTTACATTAATGAACAGGGCATTAAAAGAAAAGGGAATGAAAGTGAACGCAAGTAAGACGAAAGTGATGGTTTTTGAAAGAGAAGAAAGTAAGACGATATGTGAAATAAGAATAGAAGGGGATTTTGTCAAGCAAGTAGATGAGTTTGTGTGTTTGGGATGTGTATTTAGCAGGGATGGTAGATATGATAAGGATATAGAACAACGAGTGAACGCAGGAAATAGAGTGGATGGGGCTCTACATCCTATTGTGAGAAGTCAGAATGTGTCCAAAAAGGCACGTATGGCGATTCACAATGTTGTGTTAGTCCCTACATTAAGTAGAGGGTAAAATGGGCCAAATTAAGAGTACCTGTAACCGACGAGTGTGTATGCGTAGATATATGGATGTGGAGGAAGCGAGAGAGGTGTATCAGGATCGTGCCAAATGGAAGTCCATAGTCTCTGCCTACCCCTCTGGGTGACAGGCGTGAGTGTTTATGTATTATGTAAATTATATATTAAATATAGAGTATAATATATACATATAAGTAAATAGTTGTCAGATGCATTTACGATTTATTTTTTATTTTATTATTGTATCAAAATACAATCACAATGCAATATTAAAAATAAAGTAACGTTTTGAGTGCTTAAGTGCCATATTTTTTATTAATGCACGAGATGATTGTATATGTATGTATGTATTCAGTTTTATTAATAATATTTATATCACTATATCCTGCAAAATGTATGAAATAAGGTGATAGATAAAATATATTTATATATTTTCTAGTTTAAATAATACCTATTTTCTTTTCTAAAGACAACAAACTCTTTACAGTGAATAGCAATATGATAATAAGCGTATATTAAAACAAAAATGGGGAGTAACATGCGATGCATGAAGAGGTAAAAGAAAAAAGCCATAAAAGCATTGTAATAAGGATGAAATAATAACTATCAGGAAAGAAATGATCGGTAATAGTATTAACATAAAGATGAAAATAATAAATAATAGTAAATAAAGTAATATAATAATTAAGAGAGGTTTTTAATAGTAATGTACTGATAACAGCGACAATGTAGTAGTAACAGATTCAAACACGGACATAGAAAATGGACTGACAAAATGTTATCCCATTTTGTACAAAATAAAAGGTATGTATTGAGAAGGTGTGAGGAATGAAAGGAGAATGTTAGAAAATGTGAATACGAATCACTGAGTTGCTAAGTTTAGTCAATATTGAACTAATCATGATTTGATAATGCTTAAACGCTTGGTATTAATTTATGCAAGTTAGTTTAAGGAAGTTGAGCATGAAATTATATAAAAGTAACCGATACAGTCAAGTAGATATAAACAAGTACCATAAAATAAAGATATACGAAGAGAATTTAAAAAAAAAGTCGCGATAGAATTGAAACCTTCAAATGAAATTAAAGGTAAAACTAAAATGTTTCACGGCAAATGATTTATTTATTAATATGATCATTTTCAACCACAAGTCCGGCATAAAATATAAGATTGAAGTTCCATTTTATAGCAAATATATCTTACAATCCCTAGTTTTAGACTTAATTTTAGTATAATAAAACAAAGGAATATTTTCTATCTCGTAAAATTGTTTTGTAACAGCTACTTCATTTCAGTTCAGTTATTGCATTTCTTGATATACAAGAATACACAGGATGGACTCAATGCCTTGAGGCATTCTTTCTGTACCAGTCAACCAATGAATGGTGTGGTGAGATC